AAAAATACAATTTCATTTCCCATAATTTTAGCAGGAATTATATTACACATAGGTGGATGTGGATTATTGCGAGTTTTAAGATTTTAACAATTAATTGGAATGAAGTATAATTATATGTGTTAAGTATTAGATTAATTGGGGGTGTTTTAATTAATTTACGACGATTTTTACGACAAACTGATTTAAAGGCATTAATTTCTTCTGCATTAATTACTTCTGCTACTAATATTCCTCTGTAGCTCATATAGGGGGCTTAATAACATGAAGATGTTGAGGCTTAAGACGTTCTTATACTTTAATTCTGTGAATACTTTTGGATGAGTGGTCAGGTACTTGCCAAGTTGAATTATAAAATATACCAACCGATGTCGCTAAAATACTACACGGAACTATTTTCATTAAAAATCGTCCATCCAACTATTACTAACTAAACCATTATCGACGCACTTAATATAATTTTTGTCATTGAAGCTTCATCAAGGACTAGTGTCTGTCGATGATAAGGTGATTTCAATTGAGGTCGTAGATTAGAGTTTCAATACGAGTTTCATGAAAGTCTTCCAAAATCAGCTGTTGTTTCGTAAACTATTGATGCTGCGCGCGAACTGATATTGCCACAGCATCATGTGACCTATCGTGAGATTGAGACAATTATAGGCATAAGTGGAATCAGAGCACAGTCAATATTGCATGTTACAAAAGTTCGCTTAAAATAATTGCGCGTGGCAATCGATCGAAAGAAATTTAAAAAAAAATATTGTTACGAATCATTCGGGTACGATCTCTGGATTGTTAAATAAAACTCGCCAACTTAATTTGCAGTTTCCTTCGTTACAAAGAATTTATCTAATGTCCTTTATTTACTAAGTAATTCACCATTCAATTACAATGCCCTTTACTATCTACTATCATCAACTTTCACAATTTACTCTACTTAAATGTAATCTCCAACGTGTTTACTTTACGACTTTACTGATGATAACGCCACGAGTTCACTTTGTAACTAACTAACTTGCAGCTGAGTGTCGCCCTTATATAGCAGTCGGCTGCTCGCAGACGAAAGCGTAGAAGCATCGAGTTGTTCGCTATCGAAGGTTCTTGCTTTATCGTTTCTAGAATGTACTAGTTATCGGCTTCTCTCTTTCATCTGACATTCGCCTCGCATTTTCGCAACAATATGATAGCAAGTCTAGGACAAAGTGATAGGTGATGAATTGTGGACTCACGCGTATTAGCTCGAAAGTAAACAACAGTCGACTCTATGAGTGCTCAAGATGAGCCAAATCGAACAAAAATTATTTGCACATAAAGAAATCGGGAAAACCAATCGACGCACATTGAGGTAAAGTATGGCGATTTTGGAGATTAATTCAAAAATACAAATTTCAAGATACCAATAAATTTTTGGTACCAAACCAAAAATAGATAAAATCCTCCATCACTGGCTGAACAAATATTTGGCAAAAATATACAGTTGTCTTACAATATTCTCTGAAAATGGCAAGTCTTTTATATATATTTTGTTAACTTGGAAGATCTAGCAAAAAATTTAATGGAGCCTTATTATTCAAGTAAAACTAAAATCAAAGTGATTTCATTTGTTTGTTAACTGTCTTTCAGTATTTTAATTTTTTTTTTTGCCTTAAAATATATGGAGTATGCCTTATACAATAATTGTGAGTCCAGCAAAGATTGTTTCATTTCTATAATCCATACCTATTGTAGTTTCTTTTTGTAAAAGAAATGTATGCCAATATTGCGCACTTTCCCGATACATGCATTTCTCTCTGCGAAATGCCTGGTCAGATATACATGAATTTTTCCAAGTTGGCAAAAAAACAAGTTTGTTATTATTTGTGTTCTTCAATGGATGGTTGTTTACAAAAATAAATAATTAAAATAATATAAATCATTGCATACATTTTTTAAATTAAATTTAGATTTCTTACATTTTGTAATAATTAATTTATAAGACGTTCTTTAGGGTATATGTGAAATCATGATAATCGATATATAATTTGTATTGTAACACTTGTTAATGTCAATAATGTTTGTTATTGTTTTTTGTGTTTTTTTTTATGCATGTCATGACGTATATTTAACTAACACGGTATGAGGTATGCCGTCATCGACTACATTTAAAGAGGTTAATAATATTGTTATTATCTTCCTTGTAGGAACCAATTTTAATGTAATTTGGGTTTCTCTCCAAAGTTTTTATGATATATTGGAAACTCTGGCTTTGATAAATAGAAAGGCGTTTTGAGTCATCCGATGAATTTATGAAAGACTTTGATGACCGGATAAAAATCTTTATTAGTCAATTTAAAACTCGTTGAAGTAGAGCCAGATGACAAATTTATGCATCTACCCTAAGAGGCTTTTTCTGTCGAGGTAACCAAATTTACTTTGGTATTAAAATTTGTCATTCAGTAAATTTTGTTACTATTTCGTATTCTGAGTTCATTGTCACCCCGTAAATTTTGTTACCAGCGAAATAGGAGGTAACAAAAAATCTACTGTTTGGTTTCGTGTTGTTAGTTCGAGAAAAAATAAAAATCAAAATGTGTAGGCATATGTTAGGCCTGAAATTAATTGAAGATGAAGAAATAAGTGGAGAAAGTCGCATGCCAAGAAGTTTGCGAGAAACAAATGAATCAAACAAATCTCGCTTATTCGGTTCTACCTTATGAAAATAAATATTTGGATGTTAAGCACACTTCAATTTAATCCATCGATGATGGAATAGTATGCTGCGCACTAACAACATCTAAACAAAAATGTTATATATCTGGAGCTAGCTCAAAGGATATCAATTGATGAAGTGGCGAAGAAAAATGCAAAAAGCAAAGATTCTATCTTTCGTTACTTAACGGTTGGATTAGGTTCTTTGAATGTCGGCTCTATTTATCGTATAAATTGCGCATAAAAAAGTGGCAAGCTCGTGCAGTAAGTGAGAAACTATTAGTTTCGGAAAATAAAGCACGCATTTGAAAATAATGAAAAGATAAAATTGGTCTGATTCTTGCCCAGCTGAAACTTGGATTTGGCAATCCTAATAATGGCAATACTTGCAGGCGTTACGTCAGCAGAAATCACTAAAGTTAATTTAAATTAAACAGATGCATATAATACTCGTAGTTGTTTATATTAGACACGATGTTGGCGCACAAAAGTTTCGTAACTACGCTTTAAATACAGGAAAATAAATATATCTTTGAATATTATTATTAATAAATATTTCATCCCTGAACCAGAGATAATATCCTACGCACTGTTACCAATCGGGCAATTATCACAAGAAGTTCAGGAATCTCGAAGCAAATTTTTTAGGACTTTTAAAGCCCGATTTCTCGCAAATGCAGCAGAAAAAGAAAAAGACGAAACAGACTGTTAATCAGTTCTGACCCCGTTATCAGGTGTGTTTGTTTCCGCCGTTTTTTTCCAAAATTAAAAGCTTTATTGCGAAAAAGTGCTTACAGATATATTATTGAAAGTAGTAGTTGTCCTTCGCTAGCGACAACTTTGTCCCATCTTTCCGGCAATTTTCGGATCCCGGCTCGAAAAAAAGGAGTCCTCTTTTGACGCTATCCATGAAGCAATCCATTTTTCGAATACTTCGAAGGATTGAAAATGTAGATCTGCCAGGCCGTGTGCCATCGAACGGAATAGGTGGAAGTCAGAAGGGGCGACATCTGGGAAATACGGCGGGTGGGGCAAGACTTCTCATTTGAGCGTTTCCAGGTACTTTTTGACCACTTTTGCGACGTGAGGCCAAGCATTGTCGTGTTGGAGGATGACTTTGTCATCTCGCTCTTGCTATTATGGCCGCTTTTCTTTTAACGCGCAACTAAGGCGCATCAGTTGCGTTCGGTAGCGATCACCTGTGATTTTTTTCACCCCTCGTAGTAAATCACACCGAGCTGATCCCACCAAATACAAATCATTACCACCATGTTTGTCTTCGACATCAAAATCACCATTTTTAAGACGTTCTTTCACTCAGAGCAGCATCACCGTAAGTTTCTGAGAGCATTCGATGCGCTTCAGATGCATTTTTTTTCGAATTGTAACAGAAAAGTAAAATATCCCGCAAATGGCGAGAATTAGGCACATAAACGGACATTTTCGAGCGTGAATAATACGAAATCAAGAACAACTGTCACTGAAACGGCAATGACAATTCGTTAGGCACTGTCCACACTCACTTTAAAGGCATTATCATCTATGTATTTCAACCAGCCTCAGCCGGTACAGCCACCTATCGGAAAACGGCGGAAGCAAAGTTGTACACCTGATATATTAACCAGAAGAAAATTACCACAAATATTGTAAAAGTGAAGGAAATACCGGAAGAAGCTTAAGAGATGATTGTGATGGAGAGTGGCAATAATAATAAAGTTGATGATGATGAGGAAGAAGGTGAAGATAACAATTAAAGCGAAGTCGATTATGATCATGAATATGATTTGGGTGGTGAAGAAGTAGTTTATATATTTTAAATAAAATTTAAACCTTAAACAAATAAAAATTGTTGAAAACCGATGTTCACCATATTTTATGATATAAAAGAAAGCATTCAAACATCCCTAATCCCATAATGTTTTTACTTTTTGATAATTAATTAACTAAAAATAACTTTTCCGTAAATATAAAGCTTGTGGGAATTTATCTTGATTTTGAGCCTTATTCAACCCACTGTGCGACTAAGGCCCCGATAAACTGAAGGGTTTATTACAATGTCCGATTGACTTAATCTGCATACGGAGGATAACTAACCGCCAGATAGGCTGATGTGACACTTTCGTTCTAGATGCCTATTTTCCGTTTAGTTTGCTCATTGTGAATATTTCAATTTCACAAAAAAATGCGATGTGAATACATCAAAACTGCATGACAGCTGGTATTTGCTTACATTTTTCCACACAATATGGTTGAGTAATTCTTAAGATGTTCCGTTTTTTTCTTTTTTAATTTTATTTTCATTATTAAAAGTGGTTATAAAAAAATGTAATTTAATTAAATATAAATCATATGTTTTTATTGGGCAATAAGACGTTGATGGTTTTAAGTTAATTGCATAGATTGTATGTAATATTTATGTTTTAAGCGTGAAAGAGAACAACGATAATTATAAATGAACTTATGAGACCCTTCGAGCTCGTATTTGAGGGTCATAGTGACCACTGTCGCCTAGAAGAAAACAATCCCTAAATACGTCTTACTAAAAACGGTCCTTCAGGCCACTATTACATAAAATGTTTCTGCCATGACGATTCAAGGTCCGTTTTTTCCAAATTTGCCTAAGGACAGCTTGTACGTTGAAGGAAAAATACTCATTTTTGTATCGAAAAATCTTGACATTTTTTTCCTCCAAATAAGCGCAATGTATATACCACATTATCTTTGGAAATTTCGATATTCTGAGAAATCTGCGATTTGAATTTTCAATTATCCTGCTCGTTTGTGATATTCTGATGTAGGATTTGGCAAATGCCCGATAGCAATCTTCTACATTATTTTTCACCCGACTTCCAGTCACCCGAAAATTCTGCATAAATCAGCAAATCAAATTAGAAAGCTTCCAAATGCATAAAAGCATAATTTTAAAAGTAAACATTTCCGCTGACCTAGCTGGTTCACTTCTTTACTCCAAGCACATTATTTTCACAAACATTTCGGTGGGGCTTCTAATTTTATTTTGTATGTTTTCCAAAACGTATTTTGCACTAACTTTGGAAATCTACTAATTTAAACTTTTCATCATATATCTCAAAGAAATATATTTGTGTCCCACGCCTCTGAATCATCGCAGTCACATAGGCCGCATATATTCTATAATTAAATTTATGTTAAAGTTAACATCGGGATACAATTTTATTTATTATTTACAATTTCCACCTGTAAAGTTATCTTCTGATTAAGAGCCAATCGCCGCTCAATGTTGACGCTGAGTTAATAACAACTTAATTGACAGTTGCGCCGTAGCCGGAGATGATGAAAACGACCCTTAAAGAATTTCCAATTTGCGGCTTGAACAGCTACCTGAAATACAAATATGAATGTATTTTATTTACTGCATCATTTTCAATAACGAACATTTGCCATTAATGGGTATTTTGAAACTGTTGATTGGATTCTTGACTGTATGGTACTTGTAGTTATAATCAAACGTTAGTAACTCTTTCAATATTTATCCCAACTACGTTTGACGGTGTTGTCATTGATAACCGCAAATTTTTAAGTGTTATTATTGTAATTAGTAGTTAAAGCCAATTTTTAATCGGAATTTCGATTTACTGATTTAAATTTTTCAAAAACTTCGTGTTCGTACTTTATACTAACATAAAATATATGAGGAAACAAGCTCGTTTTCCGAAAAAAATTATTTTTAATTACAATTGTTATCATTTATGTACTATAAAACCTTGAACAGTATGTACACATGTTTAAATATTCTGTCGCTTGCAAAATGACTGACATTTCACTAATCAAATATACACGCTCAGATGCTATTATTAATAATTCAGGCATTTATTGATTGAAGGCTTGTGGGGGCACTAGTATAGAAATTTTATTTTTTAAGTCAGCTTCTCACCAGCAATCACGACAAACGATCGAAAAATATTTTAAAACCCATTAGAATGAATGAAAATTAACAAATAAATTGACATGGATTATATTAAGAATATTTTAACATGTAAGGACTTATTCATAAATGGAGAGCAAAAGCTCAGGAAAAATCTGAATTATACACACATACCATACATTTCATAGTAAATGGAATTGTAATAAACGTTAAAATATAGTTGCACTGTATAACGATGGGTTTCAAAAGAAATTTTATTGCAGTTGCCCTCAGAAATCGTATTGAGACATTTCATAATCAATTAACAAAACTTTATTTTGCAAAATAAAATAAAATAATATCACAACAATGTTATTATATATTATTATATATTATATAAATAAGTTAGGTTATGGTGGCTACCGCTAAGTCGCATCGATTTCCCTTAGGGCTGACCAAGACCCAATGAACTTCAGTTGATCCATGCCTTGGACGTCGGCTATCTGTATTCGATAGACCATTCAGCAATATCAACCCGAAATTCCGAATTGGGTGATCGTTTTCTCCTCATCATCATTCTTGCAAGCTCTTGCAGCATCTTGTATAGGGAGCCTCTAGAATTTCGGCGTATGGTACTATCAGACAATGGCCTGTCAGAACACCAATTAGTTTAGAGTAGTACCCTTATCTCTTCGGTATCTTCTTACCTAATTTCCGACTTCAGTGTTGTCGAGAAGAATCTGCTTGGTCGTACCTTGCTTAGAAGGTTCATCCACCTTACAGTTTCCTTCGTTTTCCCTGTGACCATAGACCCCCGTGAGAGACAGTCTTGTTCTGTTTGGCCATCTCCTCTAGAGATCGGCGACAGTCCAGCACTAATTTTGAATTTAGTGTGAGAAATCACAGTGCTTTTATGGCTGCCTGACTGTCACTGAAAAAGAAGATATCCTTATATTTAAGGCTGGCTCTGAATATCTTTGCATTCTCCATAATTGCATATAACTTCGCCTGGAAAACACTGCAATGGTCGGATAGTCGGAAAAGAGTTCCATCGGAGAGTTCTCTTAGAAAAAACCATCGTAAACTCTCCCTCAAAATTTTATCCGTCCATGTCAGGTTATCACCTGGTGTTTGATAATTATCTAACTATTCTTCTCAGCTGGAAATTCGTGTTTTGAAGTATTTATCGGTTATATAATTGGACCGCATCAATATGTATATCTTGGTATGAAATGAATGAAATATCAAGGTATGTGACTTCGCCAGTTTGTAGGAAAGGCACATTGTTGAGCTTGATGATGGGGCTCACATTTGGCCTTGGAATACCAAATTCAGATATAGCGGCGTAGAGGCAGTTCCTTATTGTGCTGTCGAAAGCAGCTACAAAATCAACGAACAGGGGAGCGATGCACATCCCGGGTTTTTAAAAAGATTTGTCGCTTAGTGAATATCTAAAGCCACACAGAGGATGGGATCGTCTGTAGAAGTTTCGGTAGAAATTTATGCAGGTTTTTGAATGTTATCCCTTTGGAAGTGACCAGAAGCGATTCGTTTGCACATGGTTCAAGCAAATCACGACTTCCGGTATTATATCAAATACCCTTTGCCACGCTATGTCTGAATTCGGTATCCCCGTAAAACTTATACTTATAAAAACCTCACCGTGACTTCTGCTTTGTCCAGACTTAATGAGAAAGCAAAGGATATGGGGCTCCTATATTCTATCATAACAAGAACAGTCGATGCAACCGTGACTCGGCTCCCCCGCCACTGTCGACAGTCATAATTTTAAGGTCGTAGATGTTATCCATCTTGGAATCTATATTAACAACAATAACAATCAAAATCCAGCGCAGCATCACTCTTGCCAAAAGGTGTTACTTTGGACTAAGTATGCAGTTGAAAAGAAAGAACAAAATGCAGTTTCAGCTATTGGAAGCAGAGGAAGAGAAATACCTCCGACCTTGAATAACTGGACTTTCTCAGTGGGCGCCAAACTGTGAAAGAAAGCGACGAATGACGCGCTATTGTTGATTCGACTATAATCGAGTATTCGGTGCCTTCGCCAATAAAGAAGAAAAAAAAGAAGAAAGTCACATTAATGAGGTGTAATCAGCTTGGTGTCCGTGGGCTTAAGTGTTTCACGTTTTTTGTTCTTTAAGCTGACAACCGTTATATGAACGTTGTCAAAATTGGGTACTGCCATCGTCATCGACTGGGTGTTGCACTTTTACTGCCGTTCAGCATACACAAAGTTTGATCTGGACATCGGTCACCAGATTGGTTCCTTTAAATAATTTCTTTAATTTCTGCTTTCAACAAACATACTTATAAATATATATATACTGCCATCGTCATATATATATATACTAACCAAGTATAAATGTTTACTTTTGACTTTGCTTTTGAACTATTTAATATTTGTTTTGCTCCCGGCACTACCATCATCAGTTTGCGTGCTGCCGGATTCAGCATGCAGCCATTAGCCCTTCCTACACTTAAGCACATAACCTCAAACGTGCTAATAACGCCACGAGTAGTTTTATTTATCGAACAAAAAAGTTCCTTTACAACCTAACGCCACTTCATCCAGTCGCTTGAACACCTTTCATTGGCCAATTAAATTCCAAAATGCTGTAAATATTACGGTTTTTCAGTGCAAAGCCAATGGAAGTGGAATTAATCCAAGCGTTTCATAATTTTTGCTCAAAGTAATTAAAATTTAAAATTATTTTATAACGCAACCTAATATGGCATATGCCAGAAACCACTAAATAATTGGCATACGAGTATGTACGCCTATACAATGCTTGGCTTGGTAGTTTCAGCTTCAGCTTATAAGGAACGTTCGGCTACACTGAAAATGCATCCCTCAATTAGCTGCGTTTTTAACTTTCATTTACACTTAAGTGAATAATTTTTGTCAGTTCCGCTTCGCAGGCTCTCGTAGTGCATTATGAGTAACTTCTCAGTTTAGTTATAAACTTGATATTAAACAAAAGCCCATGTGTTTGCCTGCGACTTTGTCTTCGTAGAATTTTAAGATGCGTTTCATAAAATTAATTAGCTTTATGAAGTGCTATCCTATGCAATATATTATACAATATATTGGTGTAGTAAAAAGAAATCCATTATTTTTCCAACTGATGGCGTTATTTATATGTAGCTCGCCCTGTATAAATCCGATCGGATCTGCTAGATGGCGTTAAAAAGATGACAGTGCGTACAATAAAAGTTTCTCTGACAGTTTTTATGAATGGTTGAATCAGTTTTGTTTGAGCGTGCGTCTACAATGTACGTTGGCAAAGGGAAAATACGCTATATTTTACAGTTTTTCTTCGATAAGAGCGAAAACGCCAACCAGGCGGCTGAAAATGTAAATAGCGGCAGTCATGCAAAATTTCGGCTTTATTTCGGTAATTTTTATGTAAAAAATGCTTCTCGGAGTGGAAAGCCAATTGCCTAAAATGTCGATAAAACCATTGAGTCCGACCACTGCTTCGATTGCCCAACAGGTAAAGATTGCACAAAATCCGTTTGAGACCATTTGAATATGGCTGGATACGAAAAAAAAAATTAAAGCCTTGCATTTCATGCAAAAATAATCGACCTCTTTTTACTACTCCTTAATGCCCATATATTAACTGAAGACCAACCATTCGAATCGAACTCAAGCCCATTTCCTTGAAGAAAATGTGTTCCGAAAGGTAATTTGTGTTAAAACCCAAATTTTAATTAAATCAACAGCCCAGAAGACAAGGTCTTCCCAATGGTAATTTAGGAAATGAGTTGTACCAAATTTCATTTAAGCCAAATGGTTTGAAACTAAACTCCGATTCTTGGAAAAACCTTTATTATTCGATGCAAACGTCATACGCTGAGCATACCCCACAAGTTTCAGGCTCCTACGATCAGTGGTTTAGGCTGTGGGAACAAAGTCCTTTATATATATTTATATATGTATACGTGTATATATAGATTAATATTTTAGATTATTTATATAAAACAATAAAACTTCGTTGATCTACTCACCTAAATGACAGGCTTCCAGTAGTATTAGTTTATTGAGAAAAAAAATTAATCAAAACTTTACTCGTTCAACATAAAAACTGCCTTTAAATTCATTTTATTTTTAGTCATCGCACTCTTACTTATATCACCCTATTGAATCTATTGAGTGCTTGTTTGCTTCAATTAACATTTTACCGCTTTTACTATCGATGAGTTATTCTTCAACTCTTTTATCTCTTTTTCATCAAGCCATGGCTTGAAAATATTCAAACTGTTCAGGTGTCAAAAATTAAAGCACCACAAAACCACCTGTTGGTTTCAACTTTTGGTTTTGCAAATTGTGTAAATTCCGGTTTGTATATAGAATTTTCAATTTCAATGCTATTTCAATTATTAAATAATATCCGGTGTCTACGCATCTGGTAGGATAAAAGCATGCGCGCCGATTGCGACCTAAGTGT